GTATTCTACGTCTTCACTGCTCAAAGAACCAGACCATAAAAAGACAACCAACCAGAAGAAATAGGAATTCAGTATATTAAACCAGGGTTGTAATCCGTGTCTCGTCAATCACGTAACCCGAGGATATTTTTTGATTGACGCAATAGTCCCTACCGATTACACGCGTATGAGGATATTAATGCTGTTGTGACGACGTGAAATTCTTTATTCATAAACCCATTTCGATAACCCTCCGCGCGTCACTAAATTCAAACATCAAAAACTCTAGTTATATTTTGTCAGCTTAATCACTGGGTTGAAGGGTTGAAGACCATAGAGAAATCTAAATAAAACTTAGCCACCTGACCTTAACTGTACTGTCATCATCTAAAATTAAACCGGTTTGGCCGTCGCCTAGGTTACCAAGGGCCGCGCAGGCTGTGGGGGAGGGGGAGGCAGGCTGCGAAAAGTTGGCGATCAAATAGGCTCATCGCCTTCTAGCAACCGGTTCCAGCAGCACAACAACGGCTGACGAATATAAACGAAACGACGATGAAGACACTAATCAGAAACGGAGTCGCAACCCCTTCTGAGCGGACAATGCAATTACAACAGGTCAGAAAAGGCTCCACGAGAACGACACTGACAGTAGGAGCTCACAGTCGGAATTTGGAACGTATCTGCACTCTGAGGGAAAGAACAAGAGTTAGATGATGAGGCCATAAAGTACCAACGCGACATTGCTGGACTCTCGTCAACGAAGCGCCAAGGCTTAAGAATCCTGAGCCTATGAGGGTAGAAGCAATGTGACCGAGGTGTCGATGTCACGACGCGCGCTCATGTCGGTGTTGGCGTTATGGCAGAATCCAACCTGTGTGACAGAATCACTGAATGGAATCCTGTCAAAGGAAGGGTAGCAAGCCTCCGACTGAAGCTACAGTAGGCTAAAGCGCTGACGGTCTGTGTCAAATTTAGAGGAAAAATATATCTAATTTCATAAGTGGAGTGTGCTGGGTACGAAGTGCCGAATATTGAATCTCTCATTCTCATGGGCGATATTAATGCGGAGAAAACGCTGAAAACTGGAAA